GGACATTTACCCCCGGACCAATTACCCCCGGCACATTTTACCCCCCGGACAATTACCGCCCCGGACATTCACCCCGGACATTTACCCCGGACAAGTTAATCCCCCGGCAGATTACCCCCCGTATGCCATTCACCCCGCGAATTTACCCCCCGGAACAATCCCCCCCCCCAGGACATTTACCCCGGACATTTACTCACTTGTGTATGATTCGATGCATTGGTGTGAACAGTGATAAAGGTGAGGAGTAGTAGAGGAGAAGGAGAGAAGGGTGGTGGATGAGCGAGCGAGGTGGAGAAGGTGTGCGAGAACGGTGGTGAGGAGGCATGGAGGAGGAGGGAGTGAGGGAGAAGGTATTGAGGGGAGAGGATGAGGAGGAGATGATGCGGTGGAGGAGTCTAGACAAGGGGAGGCGAGTAGAAGGAGAAGGAGGACGCGCGGGAGAAGGTGGGGAGAAAATAGCTGGAGAGCGAGGAGCGGGCAGAAGTGGAGCGAGGAGGAGGAGGGGGCAGAAACGTGGAGGCGCAAAAGTAGCGCAGGAAAGGCAGGCGCAGAGGAGTGGATGAGGAGGAGGCAAGAACGTGGCGGAGCAGGGGGGGAGAAGCGAGGGGAAGAGGGAGAAGGTGGTAAGAGGAAGAGGTAGAGAAGGCGAGGAGGTAGCGGAAGGCCAGGTGGTGGAGGAGGAGGAAAGAAGGTGGTGGAGGAGGAGGAGAGGAGGAGGAGGAGGAGGAGGATGAGAAGGAGGAGGAGGAGAGGAGATGGTGGAGGAGGGGGAGAAGGTGGGGAGAAGGTGGTAGAGGAGAAGGAGGAGGGAGAGAAGGTGGAGAAGAAGGAGAGGAGGAGAGGAGGAGAGGAAAAGAAGAGGAGGTGGAGGAGGGAGGAGGTAGAGGAGGGCGCCTCTCGTGAAGTGAGTTCAAGGTGAGGGTTCTGCTTGCCTCTTGTTTACATTATATGCAGTACTATTATAACACAATGCATCAACAATCGGCTACGGTGAAATTGACGCAATATATTATTTTATTGGCTTATTCACCCACATTCTCGATTATAACATACTCACAATAAGTAGACCGAACCGGACTGCTTTTTATGCTCGAGGGGCTAAAATCTAGTAGGTGCTCGTTATCAATGCTGCTAGCTAGCTCACTGCAAAGATGCGATGTTCTATATGTCATAACGAGCCCTTGATCAAAGTTGGCATCGTCATTGGTTAGCATTATACCTGGCAAGCGACTCTTTAAATGTTAAATCAGTTAAGAATCAATTAAAGTTAACTTAACAATTAAAGTAAAAATCAATAACAGTGTGACTTCGTGCTCAGCCTGTGCGCACTATTCGAATCGGTGCACTCTCGACTGTTTAGAAAAATTCCCACGAAGATAACACGCGCCATTTAACTCCAACGTGATACATCGTAACATATTTAACTACAATGTATATATTTCCTAAGCGGATTTGATTTGATAAGGCCGAAAGATAACGTGCTCCTTGAACGCACGTTTGAAGGGCGAAGCGCGCATTCCACGCGCAAAGTGCGCGATGCGCACTTTTCCAGCGAGGGTATATTCCTGCATGCGCAGCGAACAACATATTCGAACACACTGTGATCACACCGTCCACCCATACTCATAAAACAGAAATGTGAAAGGGGAAGCATGATTTATTAATAATACATTTGCGTTGCTTTAAACGCTCAAGCTAGTATTCCCGTCTTATCACCCCATTCTAATGTAACAGACGCCCACACACCACGAATCGCCTTCGTATCGCCGTCTCACGACTGTCAGACAGTGAGCAGAAGCCGCCGAAGCGATCGGACGTCGCCAGGCGCCGGTCCATACGCACGAGTGCTCCTCTCTTTCTCTCTCCTCTCTCTCTCCTCGTCGTCGTCTCTCTCTCTCGGGAGGTGGCTCCGCCGTTCCTAGCTCTATTATCGTCACTTTTACTAATATCTTATATAACTAGCCGTACTATATATAGTATATAATAATATATATCGTATATATAATACGAAGCTTTCCCCAGCCGTTCAGCATTTAGATAGTTCGCTGATCGGAGCATCGGGCAGTAGAAATGAAACTTCGGCTAGGGAGTTGATTTGCGCTAAGAAGTGTAGTGTTGTTGTGGGAGAGTCGAGGACAGAGCATAGAGACCACAGACGTGCGACTGAGACTCCGTCGCAACACAGGCCACTGCACCGAGCGCTCCAGGAAGAGTCGGGAAGGCAGTGGGTGAGCCAGGACGTATCACAGAGAACAGAGGCTATGTTGAGTGCTCTGTGGTAACTAAGAACCTACAACTATCATATATTGAAGCCGTTATTGAGCGCAGCTTGGAGGGAAAGAGCCAGAAAGAAGGCAGTGAGGAGTGGCGGGGTGGAAATTGAGGAAGCCATTTAGGTGATGCAGGAAAGCAGGAAGCAGTGCGAGATTCTTGGAGTGGCGAACAACAGTAGAATGCCCGTCGACATGCAACGAAACCGGACACGGACGGTCAGGCGGGGCGCCGCGACGTGGAGGCAAGACGAGCGGTAAAGCGTCATCTGCCGTCCAGTTGCCATGGCACGCGTCGCACGCAACCCGATCGGCCGCACTCGCCAAGTCCAAAGCAGGAGGCGCCCAGATCTGTGGCGATGTCGGCGGAGGAACAGGAGAAAACAGGAGAGGCGGCGCGAGGTGCTCTCTACCCGTGGAGAGCCCATGTTCGACTGTAAGTAAGGACCCGATCGCTATCAAAGACACAACTCTCCGCACATCGGCGAAGGGCAAGCCGCGGAGAACGACAAGCGCACGGTGACCGGGAAAGACTCGGGCGCACACCATCACCCACCGCCGTCCGCGTACCCGGCTCCCGCGTCCACGAACCGACCCCCCGCCTCCGCTTCAAACCCTGCCATGTCAATTCCCCCCACGTTCCAGAATGCTGACATCCGCCTCCCCGCCGGTTCTCAGCCGCTGGTCAACGTGCTTTCGGATGCTCCCGCCTCGGGCCCCCACATCGACCCCAACTCCCGGACTCCCCCCACGTCCCCGCGGGCCGCCCGAGCGGATTGCCGCTCCACAACTGACCCCGGCCCCTCCCGCCTCGACGCCGTGCGACACACAGCGAATCCCACGGCGTCGCCGGCGGTCGCGTCGGCGCGGTCCAAAATTCGCGAGACGAGAAAACCGGCGGTACCGTTCTGCTGCCGGACTGACCGTCCGCCGAGACGCACGCAGACGGGCCGCTCGCAGCGCCACCTATTGCCAGCGTGTCATCGCCGGCAGAAAAAAAAAAAGTCGGGTCTCGCCACGGGGCGTCCTTCTCGTCAATCGGAGACGGGCAGGGTAGCGCTGTAACGCGGGGCGGCATTAATGACCGACCGATCTGGTGAGCGGGAGTTAACGCGCGGGGGTGGCGACCAGCGGCAAGGCAACGGACTTCGGAAAATCAGTAAACACGACTCACGGCCGAAGCGCGCCAAACTGCACCCGGCTCGCTTCAGAGACCAACAGGCGACCGCCCGCGCGCGCCGCCCAGTGCCTACCTGCCTAGGGCGGCGACTTGCGGTAACAATGCAAGAGTTCTCCCGGCAGGCCAGCGTCGACGCAGTCGGCGGGACACAATCGCCGGTCGTTCGTGACGCACAGGGCAGAAGGTTCGTGGAGAAACCCTTGAGGAGAAGAGCGGAACGACGACACCATCGGCGTCGAGCGATACAGAGTCCGTCGGCCGGCCGTCCGCGTTCCCAGAGAAGATGCGCGCAGCGGAGGAGGGAGCGACACGCCGCGCCGAGGAAGGAGGAACCCGCACGAGAGGAGGGAGAACCTGCGCCGAGGAAGGAGGAACCCGCCCCGAGGAGGTGAGGAACTGCGCCGAGGAAGGAGAAGGAACCCGCACCGCCCGAGAAGGAGGAACTCGCGCCGAAGCAGTGATAACGCGCGATGGCTGGGCAGCGGCGCAACGGCGACGAGACGCTACCCACACACAGATGGACCGATGCAGCGCGGGCAACGCCGGAGAATCTTCGCAGGCGTTGCCCCCACACACAGCCGGGGCCGACCTGGAAGGAACTCAAGAGGAAAGCACCGCGTAGTGCGTGAGCTGCCGGCAACCACACGAGGCTCCCGCCGCCGCACTCCGGACTGAACTGCGAGCGCAGTGCCAGTCGTCCCGTCTCGGCCGCCTCGGTGCTGCCCGTCTGTGATCAGCGCGGAGCGGCGACGCGTGGGACCCCAGGCTCGGAGAGGCACGGAAAGGGTTGCGGCGGGCGCGCAGAACTGAGCCGCGACCAGATCACGAGACCTGGCAGGCGATGTAGCGATCGCAGGCAACGCTGTACGACAGGGTGAAGAGCTAGGTCCGCAGCAAGTCGCGCAGCAGCACGCCGACAGCGCCATTCCCGCCATGGCACGGCGCCGGCGAGCTGCACGGACACCAGGAGCGTCGGACGACGAGCCCAAGAAAGGCCCCTCCGCCGCGAAAGACGAAGCACGAAACAAAAGGCGAGAAAGAACGAACATGACGCTTGCGGAGGAAGCGCCGTCAGTGCGAAAACCAGATCAGGAGAAGTTACATGAAGAGACCTCGGTGCGAGTCGCCGCCGGCGAAGCGGCGGCCGGACGCCGAGAAAGAGCGTGCACGAGATCCGAACAACAGCACCAGGAGGGACCACGCGCTCGACGAAGTTGCGACGTGAGTTGGGGCCGGAGCGTCGCCGGAGGCCGACGGACACGGTTCACAACACACACACCTCACATATATATATATATATATATATATTATCATATTTATACAATGTATATGATGTTTATTCGATGTGCGGTGGCTTTCCAAGGTGATTTCAATGACACAAAAGTAACCCTTTCAGCAGTAAATTAAAAGAATGAATAGCTATTTCCAGTCGACCCACATGCAATCTGCTGAATCAGCATCCAGCTGCCTTCTCCAAGAGCAGGGATCGGTCAGTCCCAGGCTCGATTATCCCGCCTATAAAAGCCCAACGGCGCTCTTCAGCCACAATCCCAAGAAAGGAGACACCAAGCCACAATGAAGTCTCTTTTCTTATGTCTTATTGGGGTCGTTGGAGTAGCGCTAGCCTGTAAGTATATGCTGGTTACCTCTCTCTCTATATATGTATATAGTAGATATATCGTATATAATATATGTGTATAATTATATTGTGTGCGTAATATAACTGCATAATATATATTTCCATCGGCATATAGAATATAAACGGTATATTTTATATGCTGGCATGAATATTTATAATGCATTTATGAATGCATATTACGCATACTTGGTGTAGTCTGAAAGCACGAGCTTCGTAGTTGATGTCCGTTTTGTAGTTAAACGCAGCTTAATTGTAACGGCGCGTTCACTGTTTAGTGGATATTTTCGTTGATCAATTATCAATTCTATAGACTTAAATCTAAATTAGATGTGTGAAAGTGACACTGCGTGTTTAGAGAACTAGAATTAAATTAATATTTATTGAGTGAAGAGTGAGAAAAAGCTTTCTCCGCTTGACGCAACCTATAAATTTGCCGAGGAAAGTAATGGTGGCGAAGGTTATATAGACCCACGAAGTTACGGAATCTGAGATATTTAATTTCACGCGCGGATAACGTTATATGCTATTTGCTATGATTATTAATTACAAATCTAATTTATGTTTTTTGTTCTCTAGACTACCCGGTGCCTGTTACTGAAAAAGGCAAGTTGTATTAATAATATTTTTGTATTTGATAGCGCGTCGTAAAACGCGGACTAGAAATGTTCTGCCTCGCTCTTTCATATTTTAAATTAAATAATAACATATTGCTTATTATTATTATTATTATTATTATTATTTACTGTTAATATTATTATCATTGTTATTGTTGTTATTGTCACCATAATTATATATATATATATACGCGGTTTCCCTGTGGTTTATCGCCTGATGCAATAATAATACACATGCATTTGAACAGCGTATAAGCCGGGACAGGTGTACAAGTATGCGTACGAGACCCAGGTTCTGACCGGCCTGCCCGGTGCCAGCCGGTCCTACTCCGGCCTCAAAGTCAGGTCGACCATCTACATACAGTTCCGCAGCCAGACAGCTGCAGTGATGAAGGTAAGTAATAAACTACGGTAGCGAATTCCAACTCGCTAATTAAAGCTCTCATAATTAGAGATATTAAAGATTTTTTTCGGCAACATTTTACTAGCAATAAGCGGGTAAATTTAGGTATAATCTAAAGCTTTTACTTAACGAGGCCGGGATACGGGCGATAGGAATGTCAGAATATGTTAGATTTTGACACGCACGCGTACTTTGGTAGTGAATTCCAACTCGAATTGCACATGTTGAATATTCTTTCGCAATTATTTCACTAGCAATAAACGCTTAAATTTAGGTATAATATCAACGCTTTTTTCAACGATACCGTGTTACCGACGATAGCAATCTCAGAATAAAATTTTGATGCGCGCGCTTAGCCAGTCGGATTTCACCGCGTGTTCAACCTGTAAGTGGATGAAGCTGATTGCTCATGTGTGTGTGTTTCGTCTTCAACATTGCAGCTGGGCAGAAGCCCAGAGGAGATCTTGATCGGCAAGTACCACGGAGATGTCCCCGTGGGCTACGAGCCGTCTGGACCCCACACGCTCGAAGATTTCCAGTTAGTGCCCCGTGAGGATCTGGAATATTTGCGACAGCATTTGTCCAGGCCCGTATCCTTCACGTATGACCGCGGCCAGGTATACCTATATATAGAACGCATTTGTTATCATTCTACAGGAATCATAATAATGATGTTATAATTTAACAATATTCTGTTTTTAATCGGCTACACTAACACGTGGAAGATACGGTACTAAAATAAAATATAGATTGATGGCCGTGTAAACGTTCAGTAAGATTTCTACGTAAACGACGCGTCAATAGGCCGTTGGGTCCTTACCACAGTTATATATATATATATAATATATATATATATATATCAATAGTACATGATAATGGAGTATATAATGGTAATACATCTCCCATTATGTACTCTTGATATATATATATATATATATATATATATATATGATAATACTACTTCTCTCAGTTCAACCACCAACTTGAATACTTAAATATATTACGCGAATGTACCGCATGAAATTCGTGTGCCCGCGGATCGCAACAGAACGCCCACATCCCAGTGCGAACACGAGAACTTAGACTATGACGTCATGTGGTTCACAGGTCAGGAAGATCCAGGTGCCATCCGAGGACCCTAAGTGGTCAGTCGACATCAAGCTCGGCGTGTTGAACTTGTTGCCCATTAACTTGGAAGCTCTCGCCACGCCAACGCTGCGCGCGATCTCTCAGACGGAGAAGCTCGCTGGCCACTACGAAGTGATGGAGGTACGACTTATTTCTCTCCCTCTCTTTCTCTCTCGCTCTCTCCCGCTCTCTTTCTTTCTCTCTCTCTCTCTCTCTCTATTTCTCTCTTTCTCTTTCTCCCTCTCTCTTTCTCTCTCTCTCTCTATCCATTTCTCTTTCTCTATCTCTCTCTCTTTCTCTCTCTGTCTGTCTTTCTCTCTGCTCGTTCTCTCTCTCCCACCTCTCTCTATCTATTTCTCTCTCGCTCTGTCTCTATTTCTTTCTCTCTATCTCTCTCTCTTTCTTTCTCTGACTGTCTCACTCTGTCTACCTCTTTCTCTATCTCTCCCACCTCTCTCTATCTCTTTCTCTCACTCTCGCTATCCCTTTCGCACTCTCTCTCTCTCTTTCGTTCTTTCTTTCTTTCTTTTCTCTCTCTCTCTCTCTCTTTCGCTATTTCGTTCTCTCTCTCTCCTGCTATTTCGTTCTCTCTCTCTCTCTCTCTCTCTTTCTCTCTATTTTTCAGTTCGTATTCGATTTTACACGCATAGCACGTCGGAATTTACCCGACATTGAGTATCGTTATATCTAACCAACTTGCGCCTCACTGAAACTTTTATTATATACTCATTATTATTACCATAATATATACATCACATCATATATTTACACTAGCCAATTTATACTATACGGAATAATTTATTTTATATAATAAAATAATATTATACTTACTTATTAATACATTTTATTATACTTAGGATTTGCTATGAGATTATATTGCCGATTTTCATTACAGGAAAGCCTCGAGGGTAATTGCAAAACTATCTACTCCGTCCTGCGCGCTCCATACATGCCCGTGCCGACCGCCAGGAGTAACGCTGCTTACGAGTCGCAGCCAGGTCTGCTCGTCACCAAGGTGTACGACCACTCCAACTGTGTGACGAAGCCCATGAACGGTCACTCATGGTTGCAGGCCGAAGCCTGCAGCGCATACAAGCGCAGCGAGGAGGCCCACGACGAATGCATCCGCCACAAGGTACGGGTTCTGCTGTCTAGTTTAACGTTTAGCCGTATACGTATGCGCGCCATGTAGGTAGGGTACGGGTTCTTCTGTCTAGTTTAACGTTTAGCTCAACGTATGAGCGCCATGTAGGTCGGGTACGGGTTCTGCTGTCTAGTTTAACGTTCAGCTTAACGTTTGCGCGTCACAGGGTACGCGGCTTTATACTACCTATTTTTACGTTTAGAGTTTGGTTTGTACGTCACGGGGTACTTTCAGTTTAACACTCAGTTTACGGTGAGGTTCACGGGTGCGCGTTACAACGTACGTGTTTTTCTAATGAATTTTACGCAGGTTTTGCGTTAATGATTATGTTTACGAATCGATAAGTACGTTCGTGGTACCGTACGCACGTTAGGTTATTGAATACAAGCCAAGCCCGCTACGGAAACACATGTTATGGCCCTGTCACACATTGACGATTTAGCCAGCGTATGCCGGACGTATCAAAAATTTGGTGAATACGCTGGC